AAAAATATTCCATTTCTTTATAATTTATTCCTTAAAACAATCTTATTCTTAACATAATTTTTGTTTCTTAATCACAACATATTTTTATATTTATTTTTAATTCTTTTGTCAACCGTTCCCTTGCCTCCCAACTCTATTATTTGTTTCTAGTAACTTCCAACTTAATAGTAGCCTTTTATGGAGTGAGTTAGAATTAAAAAAATTAAATTAAATTAAAAATTTATCTTAGGTATTATAGACATTCATACTAATAGTATTTTAGCTTTTAGTTTTAACTATACAAAGAAAATCAAATGAATTTAACTATATATATTTTAAAATCAAATATATAACTATATATATATATATATATATATATATATATATATATATATATATATATATATATATATATATATATATATATATTTTAAAAGAAAATCAAATAAATTTAACTATATATATTAACTATATATGCTTATCAGTTAAAACTCATTTTTACCAATTTTTAAAAAAACATTTTTCAGACAGATTAAGGTAAAATAATTGCATTTTAGTTTTTGTATAACGTTTTCAAAGAAGTTGGATTTGGTAATATCTACAGTTATATATATATATATATATATATATATATATATATATATATATATATATATATATATATATATATATATATATATATATATATAGATATAGATATAGATATAGATATAGATATATATATATATATATATATATATATATATATATATATATATATATATATATATATATATATATATATATATATATATATATATAGATATATATATATATATATATATATATATATATATATATATATATATATATATATATATATATATATATATATATATATATATATATATATATTGCTGTTTAAATATTGCTACAATACCAAAATGTATAAATAAATATTTACATGGCTGGGGCAAAAAGAAGACATTAGTATTCCTACCACTAAGCCCCATAGTCCTACCATAAGCCTCGTACACTCTATTTTTACATCACAAGCAGTTATTTTATATGGTAAATTTTTTTATAATACTGTTAAAAATTATTTAAAATATATTTTTTTTATTTAATTAACAAAAGCCAAAAAACAATAAAATATGACACAAGTTAATAAAAGACAATAAAATACTTAAGATGTAAAATATATATATATATATTTTAGTTATTTTTTACATTTTTAAGTTAATAATAACAAGAAAAGAAAAAAGCAAACCAGGCAGCTTGTTTGCATAAGGGAAAAAAATAACAATAAATAAAAATAAAAAATGATATAAAATAAAATAAAAATAAAGTAAAAAGTAAAAGAAAAAATAAACACGTATATAAAACAAAATAAAAAAATATGTATGTATAAAAACATGTAAATATAAACATAAAAAACAAAAAATAAAATGATTAAGTAAGTAAATAAAGAAAATAAGATTATCTAACATATTTAGAAATAACTTAATTCATTATCAATAGTAAGAAGTTTTTGTTTAACTTTTATTTTAAATTTGTAAAAAGAAGTTTTGATTATTATGTTTAAAATTCCATAATTTGGGTCCTCTATTTTCAATAAAGAATTTAGTGGCTATATAATAGGTTTTGGGTTGAATGTAGTTCTGATTTGAAAATCTAGTAGAGTAAAAATGATTTATTTTGTTAAAATGGATATTAAATATTAGAGGTTTCATTTTATTATCAATTTTGTACATAAAAGTATCTGATAAATGTTTAGTTGGTAAACATTGAGTATATTTAGTTTATGAATAAATCTTTTGAGGGCGTTAAACTATTTACGTTTGAAATAATTCGTACAGTGTGTTTTTGTCTACTGAGTAGTTTTTTTAACTTGGTTGCATTGGTGCTGCAACACTGAGTTTCATCAATAAAGTCTCATCAGATAAATTGACAAATTAATAAAATTTCAATTTATACCAAAAATTAAATTACACACAGTGGTATAATGTAGTTATATAAACTTTAGCTTTTAACTGAACAACTAACTTGAACACCAACCCTGACAAACAAGGCATTTGTGGTTAGATATAAGTTGAGCGCAGTACTTCAAGGGCCATGGATCTACATAAGATAAATAAATTTATATATGGTTTAATTCTTTCTGGGAAACATTTGTAGATATTAGTTTGCGATGTTGTCTGATAACTAATAGGATATTTTGTCGTTGTTCTTTATTTTGAGACGAGTCAACAAATTGCTGGGATTATTCCAATATTCCTTTCAGCACAATCATTTGCGACACGCAAGTTTTTGATAAGAAAAACATAGTTATAAGATTCAAGATTCTTTAAGTTGCCTTTAGTATGAATGGTATATAACCAAACCATAATTTCACTAACTAACTCCCGTTTTATAAAAGTAAACCAACTTTCCTCTGTAATCAAATCTTTCAATTGAGTGTTTCATTAAGAACAACAACCGTTGGCTTTTCGAAGTTTATAATTTCAATTTCAGGCACTTTATGCCAAAGTAAAGTCTCTAAAATGTCTGATTTAGTTTGCAAATCAAGATGTGAATCAGCTAAAACCATAATAACTGTTTTAGGAGACAAGTACCAAAAATGAGCTTGCATACTCTTTAACAGTGCAACATCTGCCTTTAAGTTCCATTCTTTTTGTATAATTTGTGCATTTTTGAAAGCTCTAAAGTCATTTAAAACAGAATGTTTACCAAGACTAGACTTTAATAACACGGGTGCAGGGAAAACTCTGATTATAAAACACATCTTAGAAGTATATTCTTTTTCTTGTTCATGTAGATAATCAATTACTGGTGATATAATTTCGAGAACTAGGTGATATATGGAGTCTGCCATAAAATAAGCTGCATGACAGACACCTGGCTGATAAATTTTAAAATCTTTTAACTTATTAGAGTTGATGTTAAAATAAAAAGCAAAATATTCTACAAGATGCTTGTAATCGTCCCTTAGAAAAGTTGTGTTATTCAAAGAAAACTCTATAAAACTCTTTGCTTCAAAATATAAACTGTATATCCCAGAGCCAAAAATAAGTGAGTTCTCAGAAAACCTTTTAAATCTATATCGGAATAAAGGTTATTATTTGGTCCTTTGCTTTTAATCCCAGTTATAGCTTTGTAAACATGTTTAATGTGCAGTTTGTAAATATGATGTCTACACATTAACAAGCATTGGTTTTTTTTTAATTCTTGTTAAAATCGTAATTGTTCCATCCAATCTGCCTGTATCTGCCTGTATCTGCCTGTGTCAGTACAAACTGCAAAAACTTGGTTAAATACTTCAAAATACTCCAACAGATTTTGTATAACTAAAACCTGATCAAGTGCATTTCCAAAGTTACTTTGTACAACTCGTAGAAAAAGATCATCTTATGCCCAAATTCTGGGCTTGTAATAGAAACAGCAATTCGGTCATGGTTAATTTTCTGCTTCAATTTTTCTTCAATATAACTAACTACTTTGCCATCTAAATGGAGAACAAGTTTTTTACCTCTTAATTCATCTCTATAGTTTTCTCGTATTTCAATACCTTTATGGGCTGTAGTTTCATAGCGCTTCTGTCTTTAAGTCTCTCTATTTTATTTCTACTCCTAATTAGTTCATTACACAGGCAATAAACATTGTTTGATCTCTGTAACTGATTCCTTTCCTTACACTTGAAGGTGTTGTTGCTCCGCCATCTTTGATAATAACGTTATGATCAATAAGAGTTGCATGTGTTTGTTTTTCTTTATTTGCTTTAAGTATTTGGATTTCAATAGAACTGTCTTCACTCTGCTTTGAACTCATATCTTTAGAATCTATATAAATTATAAAATATAAAGAAGTTTTTTTAAAAAAGCCTAATAAGGATATAAATAATAATACAGCAAATGAATACCTTCTAAACATAAACTTGCTTTTTTGCAATTGGATTTCACTTCCAACCCATAATTAGCTGAAAGAGATTTATCAACTTCATGGCATATCTTCTATTCTAATATCTTCTTCATTTTCAATTAAGTGTTCACAAGCATTATCTGCCACCATTTTCTTCCTGTATTCTTCATACCTTGCGTACTTCTCCATTCTCCTTTCGACTCTTGCTTCTAATTCCTTGTCTCTAATGTGACTAATGAACTGAACTCTTTTGTTTCTCTGATCTTCAATAAATGAAATATCTTCCATAATAGACTTTTTTTTTCTAGGCATATCTTCACAACTCCTTCCTTACCAATGTTGCTTATTGGGCTAGAGCCGGCGTCGAACCCGGGACCTCTGGGTTTTGAGCCAGAACTCTAACCACTGTACCACGGCTGCTCAAAATCAATACTCTGATGGATTAGTTCTTTTATGCCAATATCAAAAAGACCTTCCATTATACTCTAAAAAATATATATAATAAAATATGCAAATATAATGAAATGATCTACATATTATATCTAAGTATATTATATCATTATATAAATCCACATAGTACAAAATAATGTTAAAATGTTTTTACTTAAAACTCTATAATTTTTTGTTCTTTGCTTTCTATCTTCCAAGTTAGTTTTTTTTGTTGTACCATAAGCTGCCATTTTTTGTGAAGTTTTACAAACTTGTCAATAATTTTTGGTTCAGAAATTAAATAGTTGCCAAATCCGCAAAGTCTCCGGAGGTTTACTATTTTACGGAGGAGACAAAAGTTTTCATTTCCTCGCTAACATGTTGTGGTTTCTTAGCATACCAAATCAAAATTTTTGTTTATTGCACATGCAAAGTTTGTATTTAAGCTTTTAAATCGATTTGATCTAGAACTGATAAAATACTGGTAATGTCTTAAAACTGTTCCATAGGTATGGAGCTGATAAGGTGGCAATTCGAAAATAGTTGATTTAAGTAGATACAATGGTCTTCAATGGTATATATATATATATATATATATATATATATATATATATATATATATATATATATATATATATATATATATATATATATATATATATATAAATTTTGACTTTTAGTTTTATTATATTTAGGTGGACTGCATCCTGAAACAGCATCTTTAAAACATTTTATAGAGACAAAGTTTCCTGGATCTTTGCTTAAAGATGAACATCAAGGTTATCTACATTACCAACTAAAGAATAAAAACATATCGTGGGCAAATGTATTTGGAGTGATGGAGAGTGCTAAAGTTCAATTCAATATTGAAGATTACTCTGTTAGTCAAACTACCTTAGAGCAGATATTTTTGAATTTTACAAGATCTCAAAGAACAGAAGACGAATAGTTTTGTAAACTTATTTTGTAATTTTTAATTTAGCAACTTTGGTGAAGTAATTTGTCAAATAGTTTGTTTCAAATAATTTATATCAAATAGTCAAATAATATATGTTGAATAATTTTCCAATTTTTATTCTTTTTTAAAAAGTTTATATAAATTGTATATTTTAAAATATACAAAACATGATTTTATAAATTTCTATTTTGTATGTGTGCATATTGTGTTGATGTTTTTTTTACACAATAAAGATGATTAAAAATGTATTGCGTTTTGTTTTGTTTTTTGTTGTTGTTGTTTTTTTTACGCAAAAAAAATGATTGAAAATGTTTTATATTTATGTATAGGGCAAAGTGCCCTAATAATGGCCGGGTCTTATTAAGAGCCAAATACGAGTCCGATTTTATTGCATTTACTTATTTGGCGGAACATTTATCTGATTGATAAATATAATTTTGTGTTTCTTTAACATATTTATGTTTAGTTCTAGCGTTTACAAATGTTTCATTCAGTCTTGATTTATAAGAAATCTTATTATTTTTCAAAGTTTGGTCAAGCAAATATTTTATACCGTCAGTAACAATATTTGGTTTTTTCAAGCAACTTTGAGACGCATTAAAAACAACACTCTTTCAGTAACGATTTTTTGGTATATTTTGATCTGTTGTTTACTATATTATAATAAAAATATACAATACTGTTGAGATTTAACGCCATGTTAAATTTTTTACAGACATAAAAAGAAAGTTAAAGATAGTCAATTAAGTCTAGTTTAGCTTAAAATAAGTTGAGATTTTTAACTTCCACTGTTTCAATTGGTAAATTGTTCCAGAACTTGACTGTGCAATTTGTAAAAAAACCTTCGCGATTTCGATTTAAATATTTCTTATCGGTGAATAAACGATGTTTATTACCTCGAATGTTTGAACACGGACCAGAAGAAATTAAAGAGTACGAATTTTGAGGGGGTATTTTCCAAGTTATTTTCTCTATATCATAATACCATTTGTACATTTGTATGAGATCTCCTCGTATTCTTCGTTGTTTTAAAGATGTTAATTTCATTTTATCTAGTCTTTCACTGTATGATAGATGACGTAGCTCAGGTACAGATTTCGTTACTCGTTTTTGAATTTTTTCTGATATATTTATATCTTTTTCAAGATAAGGACTCCATATCTGTATTTCAAATACTAAATGCGGCCGTATATAACTACAATACAACAATTTTATTAGTTCACTATTTTTATACTTAAATGATTTGTGTATTATACCAAATATATAGTTTGCAATAAATGATGCAATTTTGATTTGTGGTTCTCATTTTAAGTCATTCAAGAATAATATGCCTAAATCTTTTTCTAATTTAGTTGTAGTTTATTCTTGCTTTATATTATTGTTAGTCATGAAATATTTATAATTTTTCTTTTTGTTACCAATATGCATAGTTTTACATTTTTCAAAATTGAATTACATTTTCAAGTTTATTACCCATTTTTTTAACATAGAAATGTCATTTTGTAAAGCAAGATCATCCGTTTTATTATTAACTTTAGTTGTTTTACAATCATTTGAATACAACAACAATTGGTTTGTAAGTTGGCTCGGAAGATCATTAATATATATTAAAAATAAAATTGGACCAAGCACAGAACCTTGTGGTACACCGCTTACTATGTCTACCCATGATGATACACTTTCTCCAAGTACAATTCTTTGCTTCCTATCAGTTAAAAAATAAATTATCCACTTCAATGACGTAGATGTAATGCCATATGCTTCAAGTTTTAGTGCTAATCTCTTATGTATTATAATGTACATAATAACATAAATAAATATAACATAAATATAACCTAAACTCTCAGGTTTCAAATAGACCTTAATAATAGCCACTCGTTTGACCAAATAAAAGCCACAGCTCCTATTTGTAACCTATCTGGCTATTATTAAGACAATAATTTAATTTATTGTGCATATAGACTATATTATAAACTATGTTATAGTTTATATATAAACTTTGTATATATACACAATGTATATATATAGAGAGAGACTCTATGTATGTATATAGACTATATTATAAACTATATTATAGTTTATACAGAATAAATATTGTCTTAAAAACTATTGTCTTAATATCAACTATAATTATTATTTATTTTACCCTGTATAATTACTAATTAGTTTTTACAGTATTTATTATCTCTCAGCCGTGATTATTATCTCGAGCAGCCGTGGCGCAGTGGTTAGAGTAGAGAACTCAGAGGTCCGAGGTTCGATGCCAGCTCTAGCACAACTAGCGACATTGATACGGAAGGGGCGTGAACTTCCTGTTAAATGCTCATCCGCAGTGTTCTATGACAAGACCGTAAGGACTTCTGGTAGCACGTAAATACATACAAAAAAAAAAAAAATCTTTTCTATATGTTATTACCGAACTTAATAGTTTTAGTGTCCCTTAGAGCGTATTTGACACAAAAGCCTTGGCAGCCATTGCAACCGAGGTGTTGGCGAGAAAGAGTCTGCCATTGCTTTATAATAAAACTTGAGCAAACGTGAAACTTTTATCGTACGTACGTAAACTTCATGTTATGTAATGTTAAAATATACTTAATCATATATCAAGTTTTACAGTTTGACTTTCACTTAAAAACTGCATTGCGTCAACTTCTTCGTAATTTTTGATTTGCAGTATTAATTTCCGTTAAAAACAAATTTTATATAGTTTTAAAATTTCAATGACCAACGTGCCAGCATGGCCGAACGGTTAGCGCGCTTAGCTTTAGAACTAGAAGTGCATTGTTTGAATCCAACCACCGGCGACTTTTTCTTTTAATTTTTTAAAGTACCGATTATTTATTTACCGATATTTTTGTGAAGTAATATAAAGATAATATACAAATATATCTAACGACGTTATGCACTTTAACAAACAAAAAATTTTTCAAAAAAGCTAAAAATTTTAAAAACATTAAAAAATGAGGAATATTTGTTACCTATGTGTCATGGTTGAGATACTAATGTTATTTTAGCAGGGCCGACAACACCGGGATGGCCAGAGGACCACACTTTTTTTCTAAAGCACTACTTGTTTGTTTTGTTTTTTTTAAATAAACCTAAATATAAAAGACTTTTTTTAAGAATTCACGATTGTGCCTCCCCACTTCCCCACCTGTTTAGTTTTTTACATTTCAAGTTTTTTTACAACTAAGTTGAATTTGGGCAAGAAAAATGAGTATACAACATCTTTATGTATAGAATATAAAATCTATAGAACTGTAAATTTGTTTTGCATTTTAAGTAACAAAAATTAAAAAAAAAAGCAAGCTGATGATTTGAACTTGCCACGCGGCGACCTTAACTTTTTCAAAACAATATGGGGGTTTAAAAAGTATGTTTTTTATAAAAACATAATTAAAAATTCTAATTTTATATTTAAATTAAACCATTTTATTAAACTATTTACTTTTAAAAATATATAAAAGTTAAAGTTCATACAATAAGGAAATTTAGAGTTATTCATCTATTTTACCACGTTAAACATTAAAAACCGAGTGCGCAAGAGCGACAGTATTTAGATAACTATCAAAATAGTATTATACTTTATTATTTTTCGGCTTTATATACTTTTTGGCTGATCCTTTATCTAAACTTTAAAATAAGGGATCATATATAAATTATGCAACGCTAAATTTGACATTTGAAGAAAACAAAAATGATCAAAATTTTAAAATAAAAATGTTAAATAAACAATCTATATAGCTCATTAAGTTTAATGAAAACCATCCTAAAGAACTGAAGATCACTTCTACTTTTTTAAAAATAAATTTAGGGTTGCGTATTAGGCATTATTCCTTAGCGTTTTATAGTCTATAGTTTATAATGCTCTAAGATCTTTTTAGCTCTGCTATTCTATTATAAAATAATATTGCTATTATAAAATAATAATGAACTGCGTAACTGTAATAAAATTTTTGTTATAAAGGCAGCAAGAATGAAAATTTTTCAAAATTTCTTAAGGGATGACTTAAATCCCTCAAAACGATACTAGTGACAGCGCACTAAACCACTGAGCTATCAATGATATGCGTTTAGGAGAAAAACAAACCTAATTATAAATCTCTTATAAGCACTAGGTATGCTGAAAGGGTGCGTATGTTAACTTAAAACAATTTTTTTTAATGAACTATTTTACGTAAAAATATTGAAGTAAACAAATAATAGGTATAGGTATGATAAGTGTGGAATAGATGGTAGATTAAGTAAAGACTAATTTATTGGTCCGGAAAGCTAGGTTATATATATATATAATGAAAAAGTATAGATAAGTTCAGTGTGGAATAGACTTACAAAGACCCGTATTTTTACGGGTCAGATCAGCTAGTATTTATAATGTTTGTAAATATTTAAAATAATGGTTTGGATATTTATTATACAATTTATATCCAAAAAAAACAAATTATTTTTAATATTTTTAATAAAAATGCAGTTATATACTTACAAACATTACATAATACATATATACATACTATGTGAATTTGTAATATAAAATATAACATGGTATATATGTATTATGTAATGTTTGTAAATATATATATTTTATGTTTTTGAATATTTAGTTTGATGTCCACTAAGCAAACCAATAAAATTCTACCAAAATCACATCTAATTATGTTGTATTCACCGATTGTACATATGTTTGTTATTTCTGTTATATTGATGCATAGATATGTATGATAAGCATATTTTATGCTTGTATATGTATTTGTTTGTGACATCTGTGTATGTTATGATAATATATTCAGATTAGGTGTATGTAAGGTCAACTATTGTAGTTGGTATACTCTATCTTTTAGTTAATTTGAGTAATTATTGGAAAAACGATGAAAATCACAAAAAAAAAAAAAATTAAAAAGAAACCAGCCTCTAGTTTTAATTCAAAGTTAAACCAGAAAGTGACATAAATAAAGAGATTTCAATGATCCAACAGCAACATGAAAAATGCAAAAATGTTCAAAATAACTTATTGTTGCAACGAGAAGCTGCAGTACAATATAGAGTCCCTCGGTCAACCCTTGATAAATATCTTAAGGGAGATTCAGTTCTTGGCGTCAAACCCGGACCTAGCCCGGGTTTGACGTCAGTTAAATATGCAGTAACAAGAGCTGCCCTTGGATTTGGATTTTTGAAAAAAAATTATAAAAATGCTTCAGATTTAGCCATAAAAACAGTTTAAAGTTTAAACGTTCAACTCCTTCAGAAAAATGGTGGCGCTCATTTAATCAGCAACATACAATTTAAGTTTTGCAAATGACTGAAGGTACTTCATCAGTTTGCCATCTATGCATGTCTGAACCAAAAGTAGCTAAATATTTCTATTCACTACATGAAGTTTTGAGGGATACGCGTATCCTTGGATGAATCTGGGTTACAGATGGATTTTAAACCTCCGAAAATAAATGCAAAAAGAGGTACAAAACATCTTCAATCTCGCGCATCTGGAAAAAGTGAAACCATAACCATTATTGCTGCTGTAAATGCTGCAGGTGGTCTTGTACCTCCTCATTTGATAGCAAAAGGTAAAATGACAAGATCTATTAATTTTTTAAATATTGCACATGCCCCATTAGGCTCAAATTGGAGTTTTAGCGAGACAGATTGGACAAAGCAAAGTATTTATTTATTTTTTCTTCTTATTATTTTTTTTGTTTTTTTAATATTTTTTGTTTTTTAATTTGTTACACTAAAAAAATATGAGCTTTGTTTTTATTGAATTTTTATTTTATTTTTAAAATTAAAGTGTTTTTATAATGAGTGGCTATAGGGGCTCTATGAAAAGGTTGTGATGTTAAACACATCATCTTCACCTTCTTTGAGTTCCTGAATGGTTAGAACAGCAAATACATATTATAAAATAAAAAAATATAAAAAATTATAGAAAACGTTATTTATCATGTTTATGTTTACGCGGCTATGTATTTTTTTACATGATTATATGAAAATTGTAATTGTAACTGTTTAATTAGCAAAATAAAAGTTTATAATAATAATATAATAATAAATCAAACATGTCAGGAATTAATGAATGGATATCCTGGAGTGACTGTTGACAAGTCAAATTTTTTTGGGTTTTTTAAGAAAGCCTGGGATCAAACCATCACAGCTGACAATATTATTTCAGAGTTTCGATCATGTGGCATTTATCTATATAATCCGTCTGTTGTTCCAAGCACAGCTTACTTACTTAATTCTGTCTATTCCATAGAACAACTACTTGACAAAAATGATCTGCTTGAATCAAGTCTGCGCCCAATCAAAATCGACACTAGAATAGCAAGAGAGGAAGTCGATTTTGAAGTAGAATTAGGCACAAATAAACTTGAAAGCATGCCTTAATGTAAAATAGATAATAATTTGGTAAACCTTGACAATAATACTTCTTTGATATGGGATACCCATTTAATTCATGAGCGTTTTACAACTTTCAATTCTGTATTCAAAATGGCTACGACATCCCAGATCCTTTGTATAAATTATATAAAGAATTCAAACTGAAACAGATTTCAAGTACAAATGCAATTTTAGAAACAGATGACTCTGTTCCAGTGCCAAATGAATCCATAGTTCTTATTCTAATTTGAAATTAAACCAATGTTCAGCCAATTCCTGTTCCAAATGAAACAACTGGACAGTTTTTTTCCAATTTAGTTTTTTCCAGATGCTAATTGAAGCCATTGTTCAGCCTAGTCGAACACCAACTATTTTGTGTACAAAGCATTTAACTAATGATAGTGACAATAATATTTTGCCTTATCCAAATATACATGCTACCCAACAAAAGAAAGTCAAAAAAAGGTTCAAAATTTTTTGAATTAACTTCTCAAGAAGAAATGCAATCTAAATTGAACGATGAGATAAAAAGAGAGAGAGAGAGAGAGAGAGAGAGAGAGAGAGAGAGAGAGAGAGAGAGAGAGAGAAAGAGAAAGAGAGCCGCAGCAGCTGAAGAGAAAAAATTGAAAAAGCAAAAAGAAAAAGAAAATAAAGCCCAACAAAAACAAAAGAAATAAATTCAAAAGTTATCAAAGTTATCTAAAAAAGCTAACTCAGTTAAAATGAGAAAAGTCAGTTCAATTCCAAAGATATTGAAAGTCAATATCTCTTCATATAATCAAAAAATCTGTACTCAAGTACTGAAGTATCACTGGCTAGAATATTCCGGTGATTAGATGTGAATACGGTTGAAAACAAAAAAGAACTATAATCCATTGAAAATAATTTAGGTCTCAATAGGTTATCTGAAAATTAGTTCCACTTTTTAGTAGATGTTGTTTTTATAGAACAACTTAGTAGGTCGAGATTTTTGAAGGTCTAACTATCTGACACGCCACTTTTAACGTGTCAGATAGTTAGAAAACTTCATCAAAAAGGATGATTCTTTAAAATGTTATGTGAGTTTAAGTATCAAAATTTAACTACAAGGATCACTTAAGAAAACTGCGACCAACTTCATATTTTCACGTTCTGCCAACGGTACTTTTGTAAGAGAACCACTGATCTCAAAATATATTTAGAGATCAGTGCTCGTGAGTCATTTAGCTTGCAGTTGTTGTGTACTAAAGTGAGCTATAAAACTTAAAAACATGGTTAAGTCTAATTTAATTTATTCGCTAATGAAAATTGAATTAATTTTCGTAACGAAAACTTTAGTTGTTTACCGAGTTTGAGGTGCGCTGTTTTAAAGTCTGCCACGTGTATATATTTATTAACATGTATTTACTGGTGTATTAAAAAAATAGTGGGACTAGTCCAATTAAATATGCGGCAGTACGGCACTGACCTTATCATACAACTAGAAGAAATATTTTATGTCAAATATTAAGATAAGTAGTTTTAATATCTCTTCCGATATATACCCGTCTTCTAAAATAGATAACTATTCTACTCAAATAAAATAAATACGCCAATCAAATGTAAGTAATTATTTGTTTGTAAATATACTTGGTAGATAAAAAAATTACACTAAAATGGTTATTTTCTCATTTGCTTAATAATGTTTTTAACAGAACTGTGGCTATAAAAATAGCTTTTTTTGTGTGTGAAGATTTTGACTTCATAATGCAAACATGGTGCAAATTTTCTTTTTACCACTAAGGATTGACATCCTAAGAGATAAAAATTCGATTCTTTAGTCTATAGAATAAACATTATTAAATGGTATCTAAAATAAAATAGAACTCTGAAAAAATATAGTGTCCAATCATCAAGGAAAAAGAAGTCATGTCTTGGTTAAGAAATATCTAACTGTTACTACTGCACTAATAAATAAAATCTAACTGTAAATAAATATAATCTAACTATTATTCTTGTCTTATTAAGGCATCAACATTCATAGAAACAAAGCTTTATCATTCTAAATTCTCTTAGTTGAAACTTTGCAATGATAATTAAAATATATCTGGTATGCTTAAGGGTAAAAATAAATCAAAATAACTTAACTTCTGAAGCATAACATAATTTACCATTAAAATAAAAACATTAATAGAAGCAAGTTGATCACTCAATGTTTGCTTTATTAATTTCTCTCCATAATACCTGAAATAAAATAAATGTGACATAAAAATGAAAGTTAAAAACATAACGATCTGATTATAATCAAACCTTAAAAAAATCAATCAAAAATATTAAATCAATACTGAAGAACAGGCGTTTTTGCTATAAGAATTTAATAAAATTAAGTTTATTTTCTTTATATTGACTTAATAAAATTACATGACACTTGTCTTCTGTATGCAGTGGCAAACAGTAAAGCAAAAGTTTCACCAGGGCTCTGAATTAAAACCTAGCAACGAAAATAAAATGTATTCATGATATTAACATCAGAAAGTATGGGAGAGGTTAATGTTTTTTGTTATAATGTTTTAGGGTAAAAAAATTAAAATAACTTAACTCCAGATGCATTACACATTTTACCATTTAAATAGAAAAATCATTAATGAATAAAAAAAGCCAACCTTTTAATGTTTTTAATGTTTGAGCAATTAGTCACATTAATATAGGTTATAATATAAAATATGTCTAAAGTATATTGGTTAAATAAAATATCTTAACACTAACATTTTGTCTTGTTAATGCATTAGGATCTATGCATCACATCAACATATTTGTGACAAGTCAAGTAAATAGTTGAGTTTAACTATAAGTGAGCTTTTCTGTTTGCCAGGAAGGTGTTCGTGTAAATGTTACTCACTTTGCAACCAAATTAACATTAATAGATAATGTTCATTACCAAAGTACCTGAAATAAGAACAGTTATATAGAATTAATGAATGAATTAAAGTCCTTTTATAAGCATACAAAAAAAAGGAGGAGATAGGTAAAACATTTCTAATAAAAAGATTTACATCTGTAAATAAAATCTATTAATGCAAGTATATAAACTATATTATTATTTACAATTACACATACCTTATTATTACTAATTCACACAATATTTGCTTATAATAACATCAAATCACTGCTTATGATGTCTTCAGATAATTTATATTTGCGTTTTCATTTGGTTTCCAATAGGAAACTATATATAAAACATTATTTTTTTATAATGCGAAGAAGCCGCCCATTGTACATGTCTTGGCTTTTAGTGTTAGCATTTTACCACATGTGGCATGTATTTCTTCCAACAGCATCTTCGTTGAGAATGCCTGCAATATCTGCAGCTTCTTTTCCAGATCTGGGAAGAGTTGTTTTACTTGCAGAGGTACTATTTTTTTAAATAATTTTTTCCACTTTTTTCTATCTTTCTCCTCCTTATTTTGAATCTTTTTAGCCACGCGTTTAATTAATGTTGACTTCATTTTTTCATGGCATTATATGTTCACTAAGCGCTTTTTATTGGCCGAAGAAATCAATTTATTTTGAAAGAAAATCAACTTCTTATTTTTGCACGCACAAATTTTTGATGGCAAATAACAAAGTGTGGAATTAGGAGCTTTTTGCTTTGCAGCGCTAAACATACCTTCAAGTTCTTCTCAGTTAATATTATATGGACGTGCTGATAATGTCTAAGACTTAAGTTGGTCAGTTAAGATCATAGTGAACTGTTGCTTATACGGACAGTTAATAACACTAATGACAGCTGATGTGTCTCTCATTTGGTCAGTCCTTGGGCAAAAGTCTATAAGTAATTAAAAACTGGATCATTGAGATCATCTTTAAAAAAGTCTGTTTTTTGGCGAATAATGGAAAGAGTCTTTGTACTGCTTTCAACAAGTGCATTGCAAACATTTTTTGCTAAACAAGTAGTCTAGTCCTCATCTTCCTGGTGCAACAAAGAATTTTTTCATCCAGGGACCAGTCACTAATTTTCCAATTAAACCAGGGCACACATCTTCCGTATACCTAAAATTAAATAAAATATGCCAGAAAAAAAATAAGAACCAAACATTTTAACCATTAATTAACCATAACATCTAGCCCGTTTTAGGTATGAAGTCTTGGAAAAGACTATTTTTTAGTCCTCCACATAAGACTACTCCAGAAAACAAAAAACTCTGAAATTTATGGTAGTGATGTATTAAAATTCAACATGTATGAAAAGGTACATGTAATCGATTTCTCCTTTAGCATAGTATAAGTCCTCTAGGAAGACCATGCTCGTCCATAAAAAGTTGACAAAGTCTTTTGGATCAACAAACAAAATTGTTAACAAAAGTGCAATGCAAAGAACTTATTTGCAAATTTGAAACAAGTATGTTAATCAACATGTTTATTGTGTTCAGATTTAAGTTCAAAATAATAACTTGAAACAAAATAAATTCAATATATCAAAAAAAACATCATTAAAGTAAAATTATGATAGGAGTTTATCATATTTATTTACCTTTACCATCCAAGTAACGGATTTAGTTTACCTTTACCATCCTAGTAACGGAGTTTATTCAACTGAACAATAATGTTTGCGGAAAAACAATCTCTACCAAAAAGTTTCCCTTTTGAAGTTTCCAAAGCTTTAAGCGATGACCTACAGGTTCATTTAAAGATTTTTCCAAAAAGTGTTTAACTTTGTTATAGTTTCATGGTTCATTGCCACTCTGTCAATCATTGTATATTGCTGATAATCGTGCTTTGTACATCACTGTATTGTTTCTGGTAAAAGTCACTGTACAACTTAGCAAGAACATTTCAACAGATATTGAAATTTGAATCATATAGTCATAAGCTGTACCAATAGCAAGATGATCAATGGCTACAACAATGCACGAAGATTCAGTTGTTAAGTGCACAAAATTAATTTAAACACCCTCCTGAGTTGTCGCATCAAAACTAAGAGTCAAATTTTTTGTTGAGAATGCTATCTCAGTAGCCTGGAGTAGTGAAATAACACCCTGCTCGCGCTTCATCTGCTCTATAGTTTTGCAATGTTGAACGTCACTAAATCTATACCCTTAGTTCTTCTACTTTATGAAGAAGTTGAGGCACACTGTGTGTAGGAACTTGACATGCTAGCATGTCATAGATAAGTGCCCTAATATCAAATGAGTAGAAATTTTTTCATCTAGTGCTTTGCACTTTCTGCTGCATTTGCTCTATATTGAAATGGATATATGCAAATGCAGCAGCCTAACTTTTCTACTTTTTCTGTATTTGCCCTAACTTTTCTACTTTTTCAAAAATATATATATTTCAGTTCGAAACTCTACAAAATAAAATATCCTACAGCACATAAGTACCTATTCTGCTACAAAAAATTAGGTGTCTGCTACATTAGATTTTTCAATGAAATTTGGCATGCGCTTTAAAAATAAGTTTTTACACTTTTAAAAAATTATGGCTTTTTTTAAAATAATGGAATTTGTATCAAACTGTCACACTCTCGGGGTACATTGATACGCGTCAGGGGCACGTTGATTAATAAAAATTAGGTTACTAATATTTTAATGAAATATTACTAACTAAAAATAATGACTTTAATAATTTTTCTTACTTTTATTAAGTTAATTTTTAAACTAATAATTGTTATTTATATATAAATTAAAATAAGATAAACTTTTCAAATAAGAAACTAAAACTTAGGAATAAGGTAATTAGATAATCAATCTTGTAATCGGTTTTCAAATTTTCTTCTTAATATGTAAAGCAGCATATACAATTATATGTTAAAGTCCTTCTTAGATTGAAATGTCAGAAGGAGATAAATTTATTACAAAATTCAACAAAGAAGCTATTATGTTAGTGCCTTTCTGAACTATAGGATTGGGTAGTTTTAATATTATATCAAAAATATAACAAAAAGCCTCAACTTTTATATCAGAGGATACAAAAGATCTAGTCGGTTTACGTTTCAAAAAAGAAACATATAAGTCGTTTCTTTGACCCTCTTCATATCTAAATAAAATTTTCCCCATGAAATGTTTAAAAGTTTTCTTTTTTCCTAAATTTGTTATCTTCACTATAACAAAGTCACCTTTCTAAAGCTCATTTGCCATAGGTGAAGCAGTATTAACTATGTTATCAGACAGCTCAGCAATGGATTCTTCAGAGTCTAAAGACTCCTGTAATTCAAATTCACTGTTACAATCTGAAGAATCTGATTCCATGGTAATAGCTTTTGAAGTCTTTTTGGTTGATTTCTTGATGGGTTTTCCAACTATGCCTAACAAATTATGAGCAATTTTTCAAATTTTTTTGCACTTTTACTTTGTTTTTTTAAAAAGTTTAATTCTTCTTTAGCTCTCTGCAGTTCCTCTATTCTTTGTTAATCTGTGTAGATCCTTGACTTACCCTTCCCTTTCCGTTTTTTAGTAATCCGCTTTTGGTTCATTTTTGGGTAAGGTCTTACAGCTTCAGGCGTTATGTATAATTTTGATGATGAAGCTTCGATTGTTAATTCATAAACTCTCGATGTAGAAGGAATAATAATTGGTGATTCAGAGATGTTAGTGAAGTTGATCGGCTCTGTACCAGGAGGTGATGTCACACATGGCTCATTCTTTATTGTCTCATCAAGAACGACAAGATCGGCAGATTTTATTTTGGTCTCAGAAAAAACTTATGATTCTTGGTTGCTATTAACCTCACAGGGAGAAAAATTTTAATCTGAGAATGCTAATTTATTGAATGACACAATTCCAGGTTTTGCAAATGCACTTGTAATATTTTTTGAAGTGAAAGATTCAATATAGACCAATTTAGAAAGATTTGGAATGTCAAAAATTGTTAATGCCTTTCCAGGATGATTAATGTGCCTGTACCTTGAGCTTCCCCTTAAATGGACAAAAGACACCAACATCAAGGGGCTGGAGTTTGTGGGATGTATGTGGAGGAAACGACACGTAAACTATTCCATTATCTCGGGAATAGTTTATTGCATCAAGTGAAACATAAGACTCGTGGTTATCGCAAATAAGAAGAACAGGCTTTTTTTTTGTACTGTTTTTATTTTTTTGGATGTGTTTCAGGACTTCTGAAAATAGTTCACTATTTATCCAACCTGATCTAGATGACAAGTCCAGAGATCTTTCTGATGCAACATTTAAAAAATGATTTTTGTAAAAAACTCTGGGAACAAATAAACGGGTGGAATAGTATTGCCAGTACCAGTTATGATTCCTTTAAAAATTACTAACTCCCCCCTTTCTGTAGAGACAATTTGGCCAACCTGCCAGTGTGTTTTTTTTGCCAATATTTTTGGAGCATTTAAGACTTTATTATTCATTAGATAGAGTTACGGGGTACATTGATACATGTATCAATGTGTCCCAAGAGTGTTTGTATCAATGTGCCCCAATTTACTTTACAGAAATTAAGTGTTAAATAAAATTAAAATAACATTTATTCATTTAATTTGGAGCTAATATAGCATTATGAAGGACATTTACTCAACAAAAAAATACACACAACAGTCAACACAAATATACTCGAAAAAATCACACTCGAAAAAGAACTATGATGTTTTAGTTATGACCGAACGAAACACGTTTATACTTGTCGAGCGCTAAGCGATGACTGAACGCGCGTGTATATCAGACGTATTGTTAGCCAAAAGAACCTAACAAAAATGGGTTTTAACCCACAGTATCGTAATTACGATATCTTTGTTACGTTCTGACTGGACCGTTTTTTGTTTACAAAATACTTTTATAAAACTTTTTTTATGTGAAACGTTTTTGCATGGGAAATTAGAAGGATAGAAAAGAAGAAACATTCAGTAGGCTTGCAATTTTTTTTTAAACATTTTAAAATGATCTGAACAATTTTGTTGTTTTATTGGATAATGAAATTGTTTATACAAAAGATTGGCTTTAACTATTGTGTTAAAGTTGTTATTTTCTTGTTAACTGTTGTCTGTCGTTAACAAAGCAAGTAAAAAAATGCACATAATAACAATAGATTTATCTTTAGAACTGTTTGCAAAACTTTTGGTTTGGATACAAAAGACCAAGTGAAAATGATACTGGAAAGGTACACTTTCTTATATGTAAACATTATTGCAGCTTTCGAGTCTTTATTTTTGTTTATGTGTATTTCATCTGTGTTGCTAATGATATCGCCAGTTTTTATGATTTTATGTTGTTAAGTAAAGCATTATTATGTTTTAGGCTAAAATAGAGTTTTGATTAATACTTATATCCAGTTTAAATGAATAACAACTCTCAAGGTGTGTTAGCTGAATTATCTTTTCGTTTTGATAATCTTTAGTCAATAACGGATTTTTAAATTGTTATGAGTCTACAACACTTAATTTCAGCAAAATTCAATTAAAAAGTCACGTCATAGAAGGCAGAAAAATATCAATATCTGTTTTCAATAACTTGGCTTTCATAGCAAATCTGAGAGGTGCAAATGTTTAGCTTGGTTTAAGCAATATATAATAAAATACATCGTTATACAGTTATTTTGATGGTCGTAAATTTCTTTAGCACACTCATTTTTATATATTTTCAGACTGCTTACCGTTTGACTCCTGTCCCAATCTAACCTAGTGGGTTCAATAAGAAAGAACCGCGTTGGAAACATGAGGGAGTTAAAAGGATCATCCGTTTTTGAATTAATAGTCGGTAAGTCTAATGCGTTTCACTCAGCTTATCAAGTTTCATTTGTTTTATTGTATTACATTCAATCAACAGATTGTTTTTTATGTTCACTCGTTTTTTAGAAGTTGTAACCAGCTCGTGTGAAAGGATTTCTCGACGTGAAATAGTTAATTTTATTCAACTACGCCAAGAAACAGAGCTCGCTCAAGAAACAGAAAAGAAAGAGAAAGATGAAAAAGTTTTCTATTGAACAATACTGTTGTTTTATTTATAAACTATTCTCCTATTTTTAAACATATAAAAGATGTAGAAAGTGCTTCCTCTTATATATTGACATCTAAAAGAGTTTTTTTTCTCGACATCGGAAAGAGCTTTTTGTCAGACTTTGTATGAAGAGCTATTATCATTTTCATGTAATAAAAACAGCTTTTCATAAATGAGAATCAGGAATACTATAGTGTATAGGATACTATAGTATATTAATAAGCATGACAAATTGTTCCAACCCCGAGAAAAATAACTTTTTAAGAAGTGCATAATTGATAAACAAAGACGTCTTAAAGACGATTTTTTTATTGTCTTTTCATGACAAGATTAAGATAAAGAAAGACGTCTCTTCGATGTCGAAAAAAGATAAATTTTAGATTTGCATATTCGACTAAAAGAAAGCGTTTTAAAAACGCATTTTTTATGTCATTTTATGACAAGATTAAGATAAAAAAAGACGTTTTTTCGATGTTGAAAAAAGATCTCTTTTAGATTTACATAATCGATTAAAAAAAGACGTCTTAAAGACATCGTAAATAAGACTTTAAAAGACGTCTTTTTAACGTCTTTTTTGCCACTGGGAAGCCTGTTTATCACCTGCTTTGTTCCATTAGAGTTAAGTGGATTTATTGGTACAGAAAAAAAAGTAATCTGGCTTAATCCTCGTTCTTCTTCAACAATCTTTTGTAGACCAATAAGGTTTAGATATGTAAAAGAAACCAATAAAGTCATCAAAGCAGAGGAATAGTTCATTGAAAGTCAAAAACTTGAGTTAACAGTCTTATCAAATAGTTCAACAGTACAACATATATTAGAATTAACCATGATAGATGCAAAGGTTGTTAATGGACTGTCTGAAACAACAAATTCAGCTCAATGTTGCCCAGTGTGTGGAATAACTCCATCTAAGATGAAAAACATTGATGTATGCCGAAAAAAAAAGTTACGATTTACAAACTGAACTTAAGTATAGCTTGTCAACATTACATGCCTGGATAAAGTGCATGGAATGCTTTTTACACCTACAAATTTGAAATAAAGAAACGGCGAGTATATAGAGTTGTTGAAAAAAAGTCTGTAAAAAAAAATGAAGAATGAATTTTAACGCAAATTAATGGAGGAAATTGGTTTGGTTGTTGACATGCCTAAATTTAATGGCTCTGCCACTAGCAATGATGGCAACACTGCACGTCATTTCTTTAAGAAATCTAAAAAAGTATCTAACATAATTGGTTTACCAAAAACTCTTCTTGACAACTTCTTTGTGATCCTATGTACATTATCCTGTGGTCTAGATGTTGATGTTGATAAATTCCAAGAGTACTGTTTACAAGTTTATTTCCGTGGTATTACATGCCAGCAAGTATTCATAAAATTCTTTTTCATGATCATTTAATTATAAGAAGAATGTCTCTTCCAAAAGGCATTTTATCAGAAGAAGCTCAAGAAGCAACAAACAAATTTTTTAAAAAAATCGTAAATTTTTTGATGCATGATATCTAAGTTACATTCTTTATTAGAACAATTTTGTTGTTTTAATTTTAATTATTGTTGGTATAGCTACAGTGCAGTGTTTTATATATAATTTAAAATTACAATGTTTTATCTTTGCTATAAATGTAATATAATGTTTACCACACTGGCATAAAAACAGGGGGCGAAGAAGACATTTGCCCCCCCCCCCAACCAACCCAAAACTCTCATTTTTTATTCTTATTCTAATTCTGGCTTGTTTGGCCCCCCTTTTTTTTTTAACCCACGTAACTTTTTTGACCTTCCTCAGCTTTCATCTATAAATTAAAGTATTGTAAACCAATGGTTTACGATACTTTAATTTATAGATGAAGTTTGTTGTAATATATTAAATTCACAGTTTTTAACATTCGCGCAAATACGGAGTATTTTATGAATTTTGTATAAAACTGAATATGACAACAACAAGCTTGTTGCTATAAGAAATGTGGTAACCATAGCAATCAATAATAAAAAAATATCCCTCGAAGCGGAGACCTTATACTTTTACTAATTCCAAATTTAGTTTATATAATAATATATGTTAAATTCTATATTAGTTTTTCTTCAAAAATACCTTTTCTGGTATGCTGTGCATTGCCCCCCCCCCCACCCTCTCTGCAAACTTTTTTCCTAATTTTTGAACTTTATGATAAAATATAATATAAATTTTTGTAAATATAATATAAAATATTGAAAAAAAAATAACCTTCCCCCTCCCCTGACATAAAAACCCGTGCCACGATTACAGATTTTGCAAGAATACACCATTAAAATAGGTGTTGCATTTGCAGTTGCAAACAGTAGCAAAAAATAATTACATACATTTATTCTTCATAGATATAAATATTATGTAGGCTATATGGTTAAATGTCAGTCGTTGTCATTTAAAAGTTCTAGAACATTTTTAATTAATTTTTCATGAACAGTTGAGTAAAATGAGTATACAATATAAATTACTGTATGCCAACTTTAATAAATATATCGTTTAATTAATATTTGCATTGAACTTTAAATTATTGATCTACTAATGAAGATTTAAAAGAATTATTTAAATTAAATGTTGTAAAAGTAAAATTGATCAGATTTAAAAAACACATAAAAATTACAATTTTCAACATAAAAACAACAGCGATGCAATTAATGCGTTTCTAAACCTAGTTTCTAACCTATCTAAGTGATCTAAAAAAAAAAAAAATCAGCGTAATATAATTTTAATTTATTTGAGACTTTGCAACAATACATGAAAAAAAAATTCTTATATTATCACATTTTAAAAAACAGTTTTGTCCACTATCTGGCCCACTAAACAACGTCCACGAGTTTTAATTTTAAATGGCCACGATTCACACAACTTTGTAGAGTTTAAAAGATATGGCCATTTAAAACCGAATTGAAATTGTTTTGAATGCAGACAATTTTTTTTTGCTCACTTCTAAGGAAGCATATGAGTCACAATAAAAGCAGATACAAAAAAAGCTCAAAATGAAGCGGAAAAAGAAATGCGTAAATTGAAAAGACTACAAATTTTAAAAATTAAGTAAGAAAAGATATTGTCAAAGGATAATCCTAGAAAAAATTGTTGCTATAAAAATGAACCAATAAAAGTATAAAAAAAAACAATGTGTAACTTGATTGATGCTATTTTGAATTTTTGTTCTTAGTGTTTAAAAAAGTCTTTTATAGAGTTCACTAAATTATTATTATCTTTTTAATGTGATTATTACATTCTATGTAATTCTTTTAAAACAGTAGTATTGGTTATTACATTGCCATTTATTATCCTGATTTACACCTAATAGGTTCTTATTTAAATTATTAAGGTACTTCTATACAAAAAGACAATTTTTTTCTGAAAACACATTAATTACAAATATAGTTAACATAAACTACAAATATAAGTCAAATAAAGACAAAATAAAATTTAAAAAAATTTTTTTTTTCTTCAATCCTGATAAAAAAGGTAATTTTGGTCCCAAAAAGAGGCTAAGCCGTTTACACGATTATTTATCATAGGGTAACTGTTAAGCTTTGAAATTTGCGCAGTTGTTTAATAACAATGTAAACTACAATCTATGCCACTTTCACGTTCAAACTATCAAAACTTGCAAAAATATAGTCATTTTCATAAGAATTGGTGAATTTCACAGTTTTACTCGCCTACTCAAAATTTCATAAGTACAAATGTAAACAGTATAACCAAAACAACAAAAATCACTTTCTGTGAAAAAACAGTTTTAAAAATCAGATAATATTTATTAACATAAAGCAAAACAGAACTAACTCAAGGGATCCAGAACTTTAAGGTTTGCATTCTTTAATGTCTTTTTTTTTTTAATATAAACTCTTTTCTTAGACTTCTTTACTTTTCCCTGTGTTTTTAAAATAAGATGACATTTACAATGAATTAAAGCTCTATAATTGCCACTTTTTAATGCATTTTTTTTCAAAAAACTTTTTACGTGGAATACTAAAACAATCAAAACATTTCCAATACAATCAATACCATCATTGAAACTTATGATGGCAGAACACACACCAATTGTAAGTACTTTTCTGCTACAATAAGTAGGTTTGGGACAGCGTGTCTAAAGTTTTCTTTAAACACTCATTCATATTTTGCGTTTGGTCATGGAGGCATTATTCTAGCGAGAGTATTGACTTGATTCCTAAAATAAAATTTTTTCAGTTATGCCAAATGCATGAAGAACACTTGAAACAAATTGAATTACACAAGAATAACTTGCGATAGAGGTGTTATAATTCTATAACATGGTTGCTAAGGGCGTTGTTAAGAGTAAAAATCTATACCAACATTAAAATAAGTTGAAATAACCTCAATTTCCTTTTTTTTTTAAATTTTGATGACAAATTAAGACTCTGTGATAAATTTTGATCTTAAAGCAATTATATTAGAAAATAAAAGGACGCGGGGATTATTAGAAAATAAAAGAACGCAGGGACTCGTAGAAGACCATACGGTCTTGTCATCGAGTACCACTAAGAAATGTTCGTGTTAAAATTTAAATGATAATTACAAGATTAAAAAATAAAAATAAGTTAACAAAAGTAAGAAACTTAAAATACTCCATAATAAATACAAGATGCTTATATCTATTATATATGTAAATTATAGTTGTTAACGATACTTTTTTATTTTTATAAGTTCATGTTTAAATAAATGGTAAAAATAAAGATCACAGAAAATATCAGAAGTATATTGTTAAATCATCGATTGTAAAAATGAGTTCTTTAAGCTTTTGTTTAAAAGAAAAGTAGTTACTTTGATTAATAAAATCCTCAGTAAAATTTTTTAAAATTATTTTATTCCATTAGAATGGTCCGCGATAAGCAATACAAAATTTAAAATGATTTGTTTGAACAATGGGCTGCTTAATAAAATTATTATTGCGTAAAATGTATTTATTTTTATCTTTTGATGAATACAAATTATGGAAAGAAATCGGGGATGAATTGGTTTTACATTTAAACATAAAACAAAGAATATTAAAAATATTAATCTCATATATATTAAAAACCTTCATTTCAAATAAAAAAGAGGCTTTGCATGAGTATAACTGTCTTTAAAATATATAAGACGTGCTACATGCTTCTGCTGACAATAAAGAGGTTTAAGTTTGTTTTTCTTTGCACTACCCCAAGCAATGTTTGCATAGTTTATGTGGCAATGAATAAATGAGTGATATAATTGTACTAAAGTTTGTTTATTTAAGACATGTCTCGCTTTGTACAATATTCCTATACTTTTTGAAATTTTACTTGATAAGTTTTTTATGTGTTTTTTCCATGTAAGATTTTCATCTAAACAAACGCCTAGAAAATTAGTAACTATTACTTTTTTAATTTGTATATTGTCAATAACAAGTAGGGGCATGTTAATTGGCAGTTTATGTTTTTTGGTAAGAGGATGGAAAAGAATTCATTTAGTTTTATCAATGTTAAGGGATAGTTTGTTTGTTTTAAACCAGTCAGATATTTTGATTAACTCGATGTTCACGTTATGAAATAAAGTAGGAATGCTTTTGTGAGACATAAATAAATTAGTGTCATTAGCAAACATAATTGTTATTAAGTTCGAGGCTTTGTATAGATCATTAATACAAATAAGGAAGAGAAGAGGTCCTAATATGGATCCTTGAGGGACTCCACATGTAATATTTAACAAATTTGATGAAAATGGTTTATCAGCATAAACAAATTGTTTACGATTAGTTAAATAACTTTTCAACCATTTTAAAAAATTGCCTATTATACCATAATACTCTAATTTTTTAATAAGAATTCTATGATCAATTGTATCAAACGCTTTCGCTAAATCAATAAATATTCCCAATGTAAATTTAGAATTGTTAAATGAGTCTGATATACTTTTTGTAAGCTGAATAATTGCATGCTCTATTGAATTATTTTTTTTGAATCCATATTGCATGTTATATAATAATTTGTTTGTTAAAAGGTGATTGTATATTCTGTTGTGCAAAATTCTTTCTAAAATTTTAGAAAAAACAGAGAGGATGGAAATTGGACAATAGTGTTTTACGTTAGTTTTTTCTCCTTCTTTAAATATAGGAATAATTTTAGCTATTTTTAAATCATCAGGAAAAACTCCGTGATTAATAGAGCATTTAAAAATTTGGAAAAGTATGTCTTTTAAAACGTTAAAATAGCTTATAATAATATTTGCGTTGACATTATCAGGACCAACTGCTTTATTTGACTTTAGCAATTTAAAAGTACTTTCAAACTCTTCAAAAGACAAATCAAAAGAATTTAGATATGAGTTTAGAGGGTCATATGTTGCTTTTATTAATTTTTTAGAGTTCGGAATTTTTTCGGTTAGGTTTGGTCCTACAGATACAAAATATTAATTAAATTCAGAAGCAATTGATTTTTGATCAAGAAGAAGATTATCATCTACTTTAATAACTGAGGGCAAAGATGGCGACATTTTTTTAGTGTTACCAGTAATTTTGTTTATTAGTTGTCAAGTGCGTTTTGAAATTAATTTGTATTTTTCAAGTAAATTAGTGAAATATACTTTTTTTGAATTTTTCCTTAAGCGTTCAAAAAATCTTATGTAATTTTTATAAATAGTCTTACTCAGTTGTTTCTGATTTTAAATATTTAATATAAAGTTTTTAAATACCTTTAATTATCCATGGCTACACAATTTTTTTATATTTGTAAGTTACTTCTACTTTGGGAAAATTGATGTCATAAATTTCATTAAAAAATTTAAATAAGGATTTGTATATTAAAATGTCTTCAGAAAAGTTTATAATGTCCCAATTAATTAACGATAGTTGATATTTAAAAGATTATAGGTTTTTATTATGAAAAATTCGTTTTTTAAATGGTTTTTTTTCATAACATTTATTTTTCGCATAAATATCAATTGAAAAAAATATAGGGAAGTGATCATTTAATAATGCCTTTTTAAGCGAATTATTAAAAATATCGTTGGTTATAATGTTATTAATTAAGGAAGTTGTTGTTTGAGTAATTCTAGTTGGTTTGTTTATTAGAGGAACGGCTCCATTTTCAAATAGGCCATTATAAAACCCATTAATGTCTTTTTTGACATGATACTCAAAGCAATTAAAATTCAGATCACCTAATATGTAAAGTAATTTCTTTTCATTGTTATAACATCATCTTGTAAAAATGTACTAAAAGTTTTAATTTCGCCTGTAGGTATTAAGTTAAGCAACCATTTTCTAATTGATGTTTAAAAACATGTTTATTTTAACTTTAAACTAAATAAACTCAAGGCCGACGACACCGGGCGAGGGGGGCAAGGGACACGTGCCCCCCTCCACATTTTTTCTAAAGGACTTTTTTTTTTTAGTTTAAAAAAAATTCTAGACATAAAGAACTTTTTTTAGAAGTTAACGATTGTGTTCCTCCCCCCCCCCCCCTAAATCAAAACCTTAAAACTTTAAATAAATCCAACTTTGCTAAAACTGTTTTACTTTTTGTTTAGCTGTCAAGCGGCTAATTTGTAGGACTAAATAAATTATTGATTCAAATTTTAGTAATACAATTAATTTTTAAATATTTTGAATGCCAAGCCATATAAGTATAAGTAAACGGTTTTTTTTTATATTGGCTGTAATAAGGTTCATTCTGCAAACGCCAAGCTGAAATTTTGTCATAGTGGCTGTATTTTGGTCTAATTTATATACTTTTTGTTATCGTTGTTTTTCCACACAATTTTTATTTATAAAATTTGCTATAATTATATCCTAAATGCTGAAAAATATATCCAGGGGTGTGGAGTCGTAAAAAAAAAGTAACGACTCCGACTCCAGTTGTTGAAATATTTTGAGTACAACTCCGACTCCAATGCCGACTCCAACTCCAAAGCAAAATTTTTGAAAAATTCTTTGAATTCTTTAAAAAATATTACGCGATAAGTTTAAAGTTTTTTTTTAACAAATTTATGAAGCGTTCTTTGATGTTTAGTATGAAAATAAGGTTAATTGAATGTTTTGTACATGCACATGCAAAACCGAGATTGGAGTCGGAGTCGGAGTCGCGACTCCGACTCCGCTGAAAATGACGCAACTCCACAACTCCGACTTTGACTCCACAGCCCTGGATATATCTTTCTAGAAATGCATAGTTTCATGTAGATCTTTTTGTTAATATGTCTTAAGAAACAATTTTGTAAAGATGCGGCTGGAATTTGGTCACTTAACTATATGCCTTTAAAAATCACATGTTTACGTAACATCGGAACAAAAACTTTTTTACGTAACATCGGAACAAAAAATTTTTAATAAAAGTTAAACACAACTAAAATTGTTTAACTTATCTTTATCTAAAAATGAGTTGGTTTAGAGATTTTCGGTTATTATCATGGAAAAATTTTCTTCTTCAGAAACGTCGTCCCGTTTCTACAGCTTTTGAGATATTTCTTCCTTTATTTTTTATGGCAATTTTGCTTACTCTTCGAGTTACAGTTATAAAACAGAATGAAGATGTTGAATACAGATGGCCTGGTTTTAGTATTACTAACCAAATACCTGTTGATAGGAATAAAAAATGGACAATAGCATTTGCTCCAAATAATACTCGGTACTTTTCCATTATGTCTAATCTGAGGTTATATTTAGATGTTCTTACAATTCCATTTAATACTGAAAAAGATCTAACTGATGCAGTTGTTACGGATTTGGATAAAGAAGTTCTAAATCAAAAATTTTTATGTGGAGTTATATTTGATGAAACTTCCAGAAAAAAAGACTTTAAGTACAGACTAAGGTTTCCATCGAATTCACGTAAAAGAATGAATATCCCTGGAATTATCCCTCAAACTTGGTATACTCAATTTGTGTTTCCATTTTCTTTCCAAGGTTTAGGACCACGAACAAGTAATTCAATTTATGGCGGACCTCCAGATTATTTTAGTGAAGGATTCCTTTCAGTTCAAAGAGCTATTGATTTAGCAATTATTAAAAACCAAAATAACTCATTTAACATCAAAAATTTTGGTATTTCCATGCGAAGATTTCCTTATCCAAAAAAGTTACGTGATCCTTTTGTTATTGTTATTCAAGGCACACTTCCTTTGCTACTGATGTTATCTCTTGTTTATACTGCTCTTTCTAATGTTAAGAATATTGTTCACGAAAAAGAGCATAAATTAAAGGTATTTCCATCTTTATTTAAATATCTCTATTAAATATCTATCTATCTATCTATCTATATATATATATATATATATATATATATATATATATATATATATATATATATATATATATATATATATATATATATATATATATATATATATATATATATATATATATATATGTATAATATATATGTATATATATATATATATATATATATATATATATATATATATATGTATATATATATATATATATATATATATATATATATATATATATATATATATATATATATATATATATATATATATATATGTATAATATATATGTATATATATATATATATATATATATATGTATATATATATATATATATATATATATATATATATATATATATATATACATATATATAAATCCGGTGTAAAAGTTTTTTTTTTGTATTTTTTCTCGGGTGAACCTAATGATTTTTTAAAAATTTCAGTTTATGCAAAGTGGTGTACGTTGTTTCAAATTATTATAAGTTTGTTAGCTAAAAAAAGCTATAAAAAACAAAACAATGAATTTATAAATATAAAATATATAATATAAAATATAAAAGTTATAACACTCTAGTCACCAACTGCATTATAAAAGTAATAAAACTATTATAGTGTTATTGCTTTTATAAAGCACTTATAACTTTTTATTAATTCTTTGTTCAAACAACATAAGTAATCCCAAATTTTAATTAAAGTAAAAAAGCATCTAGAAAAATAGAGTGGATATTCAAATATAAAAAACTACAGGAACTTTTACAAATACACTAACACAACTTTATAAAAACGTATTTCATAAAAAGTTTAGCATTATGAAAATTGTTACTAATAATTCGTAAAACTAAGGGTTAATTTTAAAATCAATCAATAAAAAGTTGTTATAAATTGATTTTGAAATTAATGCGTGTTTTTATGGATCATTAGTAACATTTTTCATAATGCTAAACTTTTTATTAAGTAAGTTTTTATAAAGCTGTTTAAGTTCCTTAATAAGTATTAAATATTATTTGAATGTCCATTTTATTTTTCTAGATGCTTTTCTACTTCAATTAAAATTTGGGATTACTTATCTTGTTTGAACAAAGAATAAATTATAAAAGTTATAAGTGCGTTATAAAAGTAATAACGCTATTATAGCGTTATTACTTTTATAACAGTTAGTTACTAGAGGGTCATTCCATGCCAAGTGAACCAGGATCCAACATGGATCCCCTTAGATTTTGATGGAACTTGGTGGGTTGGTTTATATTATCGAGATAAGCTATTCCTGAATATTTCAGCTTAAAATCTTTTGTGGTTCGTGAAATATCACCATTTAAAGTTTCTGATTTTTTCAAGAATTAAACTTTTCTTAGCAAAAACATGTTTGAAGCTCATACTTTGAAGCTCTGTATTTTAAAAACGAAAATTCAAAAAACTTTCTAGTTTTTTTATTATGTACAACTGTAGGCTTTCTTTTTTAATACCTTGACATTGAATTTTTTAATTTCAAATTTTATCCATAATGGCTGCCTAAAAACTTTAAAAATTGTTTGCAGATATAAAAAGTTGATTTTTGATGGGTCAATATACAAAATAGCATTTTAAGAAGTGAAAAGATATATCTTTTTAGTTTCTATATATGGTAGGCTTCCTAATATTTAAAAATATGCTGATAACATATGATTCAGTAAGAAATAATTGACTCCTAAAAATGGCTCCAGGTAAAACTTTAAAAATTGTGCCTTTCCTATAAACCACTGGTATCCTAGGATACCTAGGATACCAGTGATACCTCTGATTTTCATAATAGTTTTTTTTTTACTGATTTAACGGAGTTTTTTAAAGTGATTTCAGAAAAAAAATAGTTGGTACTCATGAGGAAGTGACAAAGTCAAAGAAATGAAGTTGGCGCAAAATGCATTTAAAACAATAAAAATATAGGTATTGATGTAATTTAGTTTTCATTATCTACTGCAATGCAAAAAATGTATATGTATAAAAGTATATCATAATCATTACTAGAGATAAGTTATAAACTAAGACTAAATTCAGGCCTTGTTACGAGATTTCGCTGTGTAACGGAAAAGCAAAACGTGAATAAATGTAATGGCAAACGGCAAAGGGAAAACCCAGACATACTTGAGTTTAAAAGAACTTTTTTGTATTGACCTCATTTATTAACTTGTAGTTATAAAATGAATAATGCGCTTCTGTAAATAATGAATGAAACTGTAAAATAATGGAAAAATAAAAATTGGAAAATAATGCGCTTTTGTTAGGCGCATTATTCAGACCAGTATTTGGAACTTACCTGAAACTTAACTGAAATTTAAATAAAGTTATATGTACAAACATTTTAAAGTAACTTGAATTAAATTTATTAAATCTTTTTTTACTTAGGAAATTTTATCATAAAAAAACGTAGCATTTTAAAATTAAAAAATTTTAAAATGCTCTGTTTTAAAATTAAATGAATAAATTTTAATTAAATTTAATAATTTTATTTACTAAAAACTATAATTAATAAAAAAAGTATTTAAATTTATTAAAATAAATTGAAAATATTTCTTTTTTTGAATTTGAATGTTTTTAAACTTATGCAGTATAAAACTTAATATTAAATATGGTAAAAAGTTTAAACTTAAAACACTTATTTTTTTTAAACTAATTTTTAACAACAACAATAAAAATAATTAAACAAATTTTTCTTTAACAAAAAATCTATTAGTTTACAATTACGGTTAAATGCTTTTACTTACGACTTTATTTTCTTCTGAATAAACGTCACATAAACGATTTCAAATAATAATTTAAATATTCTAAAAGATTAAAGTTTTTGCGTAACGCAAAACTGCTGAAGGCGTAGGCAAATTGCCTTTTCGCAGGTAAAATGCGAGCTGCGTAACGATTCTTAACAAGGCCTGAAATTAAACTCAGTTTCAGAATAGCCTTAGTTGCCTCTCCTCCTCCTGTTCATTTACTTTTTAACATGCATATTTTTGCACAGAACAGTCTTTTTTCTTAATTAATTGTATTAATTATTTATTAAACATCTTAAGCAGTGTGTCATATAAAAGCTGTGACATTTAGTTTGTAAAGTTAGATAGTTGTTATAGCACATATAAAAGTAACAAATTAGGTAAATAATGAAAATAAAAACTTTTTGTTTTATTTTTTTTATTTGCCCAGCACATATTTGTTTTCATATCACTTATTTTCTTACTATTTCATATTCTGACTCTAAATTTTTAAAATTTTTCCCAAAGCAATAGCTATTACGCCCTTCCCATTTTAATTGATTATCATCGTTTAAATTTAGGTTACAGGTTATACCAAGTGATAAGAGTTATTTGATTTGTCATCACAATACATAAGTTTATTATGTAATACAAATATTACTATATAACAAAAAATCAATATAAAAATTGAATCATTTAAATTTGCTTTAATAAAAAATTTGTATTAATGAAATTAATAACAATTTTGCTATGTTGTTTTATAATTTTGTTATTATATATGCTATTGTACAAATGTGTATTTCAGTTTTTTCATGAGCTGATAGTTCATAGCGTCTACCAGTTGCTGATTGCACTTTTAAAGATAAAATTTTGCATAGAGCATGCATAATTGGAACCCAGCAAAAATATTCTCTATGTGGCCAAGTAAAAGTGTTTGATGAAAAGACTGCTTGATGAACTTTATAAGGGTATCTTGATTTTTTTCAGAAATTTCCACAATATTATCTAAAAGCCATTTTTCATCAAAAACACATGCTATATAAATTCCTGGTGAAAAAGAGGCATGTGGAATCATTTAGTTCTGCTGCATTGTTGAAATATTTTTATTAGTAAACACATTGTCGAACGACAATCGTCTCATCTGTAAAGTTGTTAATGATTTTGGTATAAAACAATGGTGGTTTCTTGTTTCTGGAATTGTTGAAAAAGTCGCATAACATTCTTCTAATTTAAAATTTACACCAATCTATACAATTGTCTACACCAATCATACATTTTCTGCATTTTCATTTACTGCATCATTTGGAATGTATTGAAAATGTATTCCTTGTCTACACCAATCATACATTTTCTCAGATGAATTGTTAGGATCAGTTAATGATTTTAAACTTGCCCTTGCTACAAGTCTTTTGACAGTGCCTCCAAAACAATCACAAGCACTCTTTCCATGCAATGTAACAAAAAAATGCCATTCTGCAGATACCTCATGATCTTGTTCATGGTGACATTTGTTAGATATGTTTTTATAATTTATGTATTGTGAACTTGTACCATCACTGAAATAAATACAATGGTTGAAGTAGGGTATCAACTCTTTTAAATGTTTTAATACTTCATGAATGAAACAATGAACTGAGTTTAAACACAATACTGAGAGTATTTTGTTGCAAATGATCTGAGATGATACAAATACTTTTACATTTTATCTTATTTTCTTCTATAAAGTAAATAACTAAAATGATGCAATGTTGCTTGGCTGTTGTTCCAATGAAAACCTCGTACTGCATCTTGAATTAAAAACTGTAATTTTCAGCAAAGTCTAATAATATTAAAATATGATTTCTTGGTAATGTGATTTTTAGATGCTGCAAGTATGCTGCTTGATTTATTTTTGCCACTGATTAAATGTGATTTCTTCAATGTTATGTTTATCAAATATAGTAGTATGATACTCTTTAAGTATGTCAGTATCTGGGCAGCTATCACAATTGTGTAGCATGCAGTCTCGATTTGTTAAGTCACATACAACTAATATCAAAAGATTTTTATATTCTAAATTATCTGGTATTTTTAATGCTAAAAGTTTGGCATTTAGGTGGTACTCACAAACACAAAATGAGCGGAGACCTGAAGGAATACGCCACTTTGGTCTAAGTTTGCAAAATTTATAAAATCCAATCATAACATCTAAGGAAATTTTAACAAACTCTAAATAAAGTTCTTTTATATTAAGTAATAGTAGTCTTTTTTGAA